CTTTTGCGTGGATTTTCACGTAATGTGATAATTTTATATTTTGATGCAGTTTTTGTTGTCTTAGGTCTTTTCTTTCCTTTTTTGGTTGACTTTTCTCCTCGTACATTTCTGTCTGTATCTGTCCTTCGAAAAGATGGCATTATTGAGATGTATTTCATGTACCGTGCAGTTTGCTTGTTAAAGTAGACAGTTTAAGGTTTTTAGAAGATAGTCTCAGAATTGTGGATGGGACGTCTTGTCTGGTTTTAGAAGGGTTTGTCTCCCTTGGAGGAAACCCCCAGCGCTTTCCCCACACCCTGCCAGCCCTGGCAGCCCTGCAGCTGTTTCCACTGCTTTCTTGTTCTGGATTTTTCACGTGAATGTGGTTACCTGGGTGCAGTGTTCTGTGCCCGACTCCTCGCCCTGAACGCGAGGCTACCTGGCTTGTCCACGTGGCGCATCACAGCGTGCCTTCCTTTTATTGCCAAGTAGTTAGTTGTCGTGTGGACAACACATTCATCCTCCGAGGTGGACTTCAGTTTGCATTGTTTCCACTTGCTGGTTGGGCAGGCTAGTGTGTCTGTGGATGTTTATGCATGCACTTGCCTGGATGAGTTTTCATTTTCTCCTGGGGAGATCCCAGGAGGGATGCCTATTAGTGAAGGCACTGGCCACTGTGTGCGTCCCTGGCAGTTGTCTCCTCTCCTTTTGATCCTGCCCATCCAGTGGGTGTGAAGTGGTTTCTCACTGTGGTCTCCAGTTGTATTTCCCTGGTCATATAAATGATGAGTATCATTTCATGTGCTTTACGCAGTCCGTTTGTGTATCTGCTTTGGAGAATGTTTATTCCAATTCTGTATCCATTTTAAATTGGATTGTTTGTATTTTTATTGAGTTATAAGAGTTCTTTATATAATTAGATAAAAGTCCCTATCAAATATACATGATTTGCAAAATTTTTCTCCCATTTTGTGGGTTCTGTTTTTGCTTGATAAAATTTCATTTGCAGTAGAATTTTAAATTTGAATGAGGCCCAACTTAGCTGTATTTTCCATTGCTGTTTAGGCTTTTAGTGTATAATAAACTATTGCCTAATTACCTAAGGTTCTGGAAATCGATACCTGTGTTTTCTTCTGAAGAGTATAGTTTGAGATGCTCTGTTTTGTTCTGTGGTTTACTTGGATGAGTGGCCCCATCTTTCCGTGTTGTCCCTGGCTGCCCAGCTGCCTGCTCCTCCTTGTGGATGTGGAAGTCCAGCGTGCACTGTGGCTCCTGCTGATCGCAGCCTCCGAGCAGTGTAGTAATGCCGATCACCTCTGCTGCCAGGCATGTAGGGCAGAGGCCAGCTCTTTCAGTACTCTTTACCCATAAATTAGATCTTGTTTGGATTGTTTTATGTAATTATTGCTCTTTTTGTTATTTTAGAAAGAAAGTGAAGAATTTCTAGTGGTTCTTCAGTGAGTCTGCTGGTAGTAAGGTCTTTTTCTGCTTAGCCCAATATATATTTTGCCTTCGGTCTGGAAGAACGGTTTCTGTGAAAGAACTGTGGGCATCAGGTGTTTACTCCTGACCCTCTGAGGACCTGGATGCATTGCTGCTGAGGGTGGTTTATGAGCAGTCTGCATGTCCTCTGCTCACTTCTTGTCATTATCTGTTGTTGTGCAGTTTCTTTATGATAAGCTTTAATCCGGCTCTGCAGCTGTGTAATAGTGAAACTGTAAGGTTTTTATTACAAATAATATAGTTGTGTTGTCTTTTGTGCCTAGCAGTTCCTGTGTTCAATACAGTCTTAGGAGATTCTTTAGTTGAATTATCTTTGAATTATTTTATATGGCTCTTTTTCTACCAGAGTGTGGCTTAAAATATTTAAAAATATTTACATACGATATAGGAAATACTTTGAAATATTAATCTGTCAACAGGAGGGGAATACATGTGGTAGGTTCTTTTCCCAGATGACATGTTATGCTTATGGCATTAGCAGGCGAGGGGAAAAAGTGTCATGGTGTCACATAAAACTTAGTTGCCTTCATGGTTAGGATTAATATTTTTATTTAGAAAGTAAAATATTTGTCATACTGTTTCATATTGGCTAATGTATTAGGTTGCTACATTTTAAATTAGAATGTTTTGAAACAGTTGTATATTTTCCTGATTTTTCAACTATAAAAACTTACAGTTTATCCCCCCTCTCTTTTTTTGGTACTGGGAATTGAACTCAGGACCTCACACTTGCCAGTTAGGTGCTTGTGCCACTGAGCTATATCCTGAGCCCTAAAACTTATGGTTTATTATAGATCTGGAAGACAAGAGGGTGTGGTGCTCTTTGTATTTAATTTTTTTTCTTGTTTTTTTAAACTACAGGAAGGATAAAGCAGAAGAGGGAAGGAGCAAGAGGAAGGGAAAGAGGGAAGGAGGGAGAGGAGGGGGTATTTAAGAGTGAAACAAGGTTGAAATTTTATTGGGGTTTGGAAATATGTTATCTTAAAACAATCTGCTTCCATATCAAGTTATTTGACGTCCTTTTCTTGTATTCTGCTCTTGAATGCTTCAATCTGTCTGAAACCAGGAGCTCCTGTCCCTTTGGACTGTTCAAACCCTGTCTGTTTTTTTTAAATCATATTTTATTGGTACATTTTAGATTGACATAACAGTAACCGTCATCATAGACAGTTTGTCCCTGTACATGGTATAACTTGATCCGTTTTTCTCCTTCCCCCTACCTTCCCTCCAGCCTCTCCTCCCCCATGTACAAAAGCTTTGTTTCCATTTTTCCTTCTTTTCTCACTTTATTTTTCCCTTCTTTCCTTTTCGCTGTGCCCCTCCCTTGCTCCCCTCCCCATTTGAACATTTTCGTCTATTTCACAACACCTACTATACATTTTGGTCCTTGTTTACACTTTTGGTTTCTCACACCAGAGAAACAATGCAGTATTTACATGTGTGTGTGATGTATTTCACATAAGAGTGTGGACTCAAGGTGCATCCATTTACCTAGGAATGTCTCAAGCTTATTCTTCTTTATGGCTGAGTAGTACTCCATTGAATAAAAGAAAACACATCTTCTTTATCCATTCACTAGTTAATGGGCATGTGGGCTATTTCCAAGATAGAGCTATTACAAACCGCCACTGTAAACACTGGTGTGCATATGTCACTGTGGTGTGGTGGTTTAATTCTTCAAGACGTGCTTCTCGCCAAACCAAAGCAAGGCTGTTTGCTCACGGAGCATTGGAAGATGTGTGCGTCTCTGCTTCACCTTCCCCTGTCAGAAATAAGCGTGACAGCCTCTCACGACTGTCCACTCCGCACGGAGAGAGACAGCCTTTTATTTTTTTCATTTGGTGCCACTTGTCCTGGCCTCCTACTGGATGGTTCACTGTTGTTAGCCAGCAGATGAGCAGTGTGTGCGGGGTGGTGTTCTTCACAGCATTTCCGGGTGGGATGAGGACTGGGTTTTAGATAAGCTTCTGAAGAAGGAGCCTCAAGTCCCAAGTGAGAATGTTCACTGTCCTGTCTCCCAACTCTGGGGGAAAACACCTGCGCTGACTTCCTGCTACACTCAGAGTCTAGAGCGGTGGTGGCGAACGTATGGCACGCATGCTGCAGTGGGCTGTTCGTGTCATTGGAAGGTTCGCCATCATTGGTGTAGACCTTTGACTGCAGCTACCTTTGTGGGAAGCAGGCGACTTTGTCAGTGCTTATGCCAGTGGGGTGGCCGCGCGACGAAGAGCACTCTTCCTTGTGCTCCGGGTGCTTCTGAATGTCTGCGGCAAGTTTGCAGGGTGTGTTGGGGATGTGAGGTCTGGCATCCGTTTGAGAGTTGGAGATCACCCTGTGTGGTTTTCCTAACGAGAGAGGCTCTGCAGACCCTGACAGGCAGGCTTGCCTCCGGGGCTTGCGCACAGCGGTGCTCTGCCCACACCCTTCCGTCTGTGGGCTTTTCCCTGCTTGTCACCTGCTGGGCATTTCTGTGCAAGAGACCAAGTGGAGTTTCAGGTAACCTCCTCAGTTCTGACCCTTCTGAGCTCACTTATGACATTACTAGTGTGTCTTCTCCGTTATCTTGGTTTCTCTAAAACAAGTAACATTGGAACAGATCCTGGCCTGAGAGTCAAACAACACAAAAAGGTATGGGGTGGGTAAAAGCTGCCTTTCGACCACCCACCTCCACCCACAGGAGTTCGAGTTGTTGTCCAACTCCTGCCTGGCACGTGTGATGGTGACTCAGCACTTGCTGGGAAGCTGCTGGGTGTAGGGAGCTCTTTCATTTCCAGTTTTCTGGGGTTCCTGCCGCAATCCCCTGCAGAGCACGAGGTGGGAGGCCTGCTCCAGGGCTGAGGACTCCGAGGGTCTGGAAGTGAACGTGCACAGCGTGGGGACTTAGTGACTGCAGCAAGACGGCCAGGAGCTGAAGGAGGTGCTAGGCTCTCGCCTGGGGTGTGCCCCAGTGGCACCATTGAGGCTGGAGGCCTGGGAACCACTTTGTCTCTGCAGATGAATCCCCAGAACCCCTCCTGGTTTTTTACCTCAGTCAGGAGCGCCTTCATTCATATGTTTATGATTTGAATCAGGGTTTTGGGAGATGCTGAAATCTTCAGGTTTGGCCCAGACTTGCACAGTATAGAGAGACACTTAAAAACACATTTTTTGAAAAAAAACAAAAAAAAACAAAAAAACAAACACATTTTTTGGTGGAGCTGTGCCTGAGGCTTCAAGGCTGGATTGCAGTAAGACCCCCGATTGGGAGATGGCTTTTTTCTTTTAAAGGAACAATGCTGACTAAATAGGATGAATATGGACATGTTTCCCAATTATTTTTGTCCTTCAGTGCACCTTACTATGTAAGCATGTTTAGAAAGTATCATTTGAGAGCAGATTTGACTTGCTCCTGGTGGACCAGAAGGAGCAGCAGTGCGGAGTTGCTGTGCCTGAAACCGTGTGCTGACTCTCCTGACCCTTGCAGCTCGCTCGGTCTCTTTCTCCTCTGTCACTAATGTAGCAGTCTGTTCTCTTTGCAGATCACTCAACGTCCAGCGGCACGTTATCATTTAAGCCCAGTCGCTCGCTTGTCACCCTGCCCACTGCCCATGTGATGCCGTCCAGCTCCAAGCACAGGGACTCACTGGCATCCAATGGCTCAAGGTGGAGTGCGGGCCTCCTGCAGGCGCTGGGTGACCACAGTGGTGGCGAGCGGGACTCTTGTCTGGACATGAAGGGCTCCCGGCCCCTCCGGAAGTGGTCGTCTCTGTCCAGACTGCCTGCCCCCGAGGGCTGTGGCCCGGATGGCACTGTGCATGTGGAGCAGTGGAGGACCAGCCTGGAGAAGCCTGGGCGGGGCAAGGCCTCCGCATCACAGTGGAGGACGGCGGGGCCCAGCTGCCTGCATGACGGTGTGGAGGTGTTCAGGCTTGAGGACAAGGAGAGAGGCAGCCGACGGGCGTCAGCGCTGGACTGCAAGTACAAGTTTGAGAGCTGCAGCCCTAAGGAGGACTTTAGAGCCTCCTCCTCCGCTCTCCAGAGGCAACTCCTGGACATGACATACAGTGCCTTACCCGAGAGCAAGCCCCTTGCGTCCGGTCCAGACGCTTTTGGGTCACCCAAGTATTTAGTGCTTGGCCAGCAGTCAGTGGGTGGAGTGCCCATCCAGCCTTCTGTGCGGACTCAGATGTGGCTCACGGAGCAGTTACGGACAAACCCTCTGGAAGGCAGGACTGCGGAGGACGCCTACAGCCTGGCTCCCTGGCTGCAGCAGCCTGGGGAGGAGCTCCAGCCGGGCAGTGAGGCCCCACCGCAGGTAAGGCGCTGACCTCCCCTTGGTGGGTGCTGGGCACAGCAAGCGCAGCACTCGGGTGGGGTGGGCACCGACGCTGTTGGGTCCCAGTGGTTCCTTTCTTCTGCCCACACGTTGGTAGGCAGACGTGTTGTAAAACCTGTGAAGCATTTGACACTAAATGACCTGAAAATTTAAAACTACCCAGTCTTTACTTTTTTCTCATTTGTTAAAGGGTCATAAAAATAAACAGGAAAACCTATTTAATCTAAAGGAGCTGGAAGCAGAAACAGAGCTGCTTGCATCTAGTGGTGGAAGGAGAATGAGCAGGGGAGTGTCCAGTCCTAGGTTTTGTTTTCCTCGGCTTTGTAGCCCATCGCTTAGTCTCTGTGGGCCTCAGTTTCATCTTTAAAATGAGGTGGAACTAAAGTCATTTGTAAAGTGTTGGAAATGGTTGATATATATTAAGTTTATAAATCAAATAAGCTTATTTTTAAAAAAAGTAAGATTTTGTTCATCAGTGTAAGGTAAACACTTTATTTTATATATGTATATATTTTTTTAAATAAAAGGAGGAAAACATTAACAGACAACCTTTTACAAAATAGCAAAAGAACACTGCAGGCAATACAGAGTTACAAACAAAGTGGTAGGAAATTAATAATGCTTGACATGCAATATTGATCAATCAAGGACTCATTAACAGTTTCTTTCAGCAAAGAAATAGAAGACAGTAGAACAACTATGTTAACTATCCTGTGTATACATACATACAAAATTTCTCCTCCTTTCCCTTCTCTTTTCCCACATCCCAGTTGCCCTTTACCCTTGAGTGTTTTCCTAGGTAAACACTGTATTATAATTTAGTGTTAAAGATCAAAGTTAGCAAGCTTTCCATAGAATGAAATTTAAAATTAAAGAATAAAGAGAGAAAGTGTATGGGAACGTCAGACATTTGAATACAACCCCAGGACCTCCCTGTAACCAATAGGCCACGTTTCCAGGAGAAGCCTTACTTCATCAGACTCAGCCCTCTGTACTCTTAGCTTGGGTGTAGTTCTTACAGTCTTGATTAGACCGTGTAACCACATAGAAACATACGATGTCTGAACCATAGATCAAAAAAGAGTTGATTTTGCAGATTTGTGATGTATCAGTTCAGGTAATTGGATGATAGGAAGCCTTGTTCTTCCAGTGCTTCCACATTGCAGTTTCCCATGTGCTTGTGACTCCGGGGGCACGGGGACTGGGCAGAGATTTGTCCTCTGTGTCTTCACGTGGTGATGCCACGCAGTTGTTAAGGGGCCAAGTAGGTGTGGCGACAGCGGGGTACTGGGTGAGCCTCAGCTTCCTTCCATGCTGTTGCAGCCCTGTGGGAGAGCAGGGAGGGAGGAGGTGCACTGGGGAGAGAAGCTTATTTTCAGACTTTCCCCTGCAGAGTGGAGGGAGAAAGCTGCCATGGAAAAATTCCCATGTGCCCGTGATCTCACTGCGGTGGTGTCTTTGTACAGTGCTTTTGAATTTGGGAGTGAAAAAAAGAAGCCAGCTAAAGACAGCGAGGCACTTGAGTTGCATCATCACCTTATTGTTGTGTGTATCTGAGCGTGTGTATCTGTGTAAGTGTATATCTGAGTGTGTATCTGCATGAGTATGTATATGTGTGTAAATCTCTGTGTGTGTGAGAGAGACGGGAAGTGTGTGTTTGTATTGCTGGAGACCCAAGCAAGGCCTTGACGTGCTGGCACATGCCCTGCCATGGTGCCATGCTCACCCGCCCGCTCTTGAGGTGCGGGCTTCACATAGCTGCTCTCCTCCCAGCTCTCCTCTTAGATGACTGTGTGTGTGGAAGAAACTTGTAAAGCCCTCCTCAGGCTTCCTTCTCCAAGCATTCTCGTTTTAAAAGCTGTTCTTGTGGTTGTCTCTTTGAAATATTGACTTCATTTCAGTCTAATTTTTACGTAAAGAGGTGAGTCAAGGTGTTACCATCTAAGAATCTCAACATCTTTAATGGAGATGATCTCTTTCATAAAGAATGTGATAAAAACAAAGGAGGGCTTTGTTTTTATGTAACAAGAAATGTGAATGAAAGAATTTTCTAATTCGGGAGTGTTTGACCTATGATGTCCTGAAAGGAACCAGTTTTGTTTTGATTCTTTGTATTTGCATCCTGCTTTGTCTTTAATTTTTTTAACTGTTTGAGGTAATCTGTGTACTAATTACAGTCTCTACGTAGCATCTGATACTATGGCACATTCATTAAATTCCTAAAAAACATATAATTTTGTATGCATGTTCAATATAATTAGGAATGTGCTTGATTTTCCATCTGTCAACCTTTCTACATAATTTGACATATAATTTCCAGGCATTTTATAGTGTATAGTTACTGGGCAGATGAGCAAATCTGTTTTGAGGTTTATTGTGGCTCCTCTTTGACACTCCCTTCAACAGTGATCAGAGAGTAAGTAACCTCAGGTGAAGCTAATTCGATCTTCTGTGTAGGTCTGCCCTCTTGTGTTTGTGATAGGAAATATGGGTTATATTTTATTAGGGGAAAGCTCCCCCCACCCCTGCAGTATCAAAACTGTTCATAATCAGCACCTTATAGTCAGTATTAATCGTGTACTATTATAGAGCGGCGATGGTGAACCGTTAGAACTCCCAGTGGTACAAACAGCCCACTGCAGCACACGTTGCAGAACAGCTCCACTGAGTTCAGGAACACTCATTTTATTATGGGTGATTCTGATTATTTGCATTCAGCAAATACACATTTTTGAACTGTAAAAGGCAGCATAAAACATTTGAATTCCCTTATAATGCCCTGTAAGTTAAGATTAGAATTCATTCCATAGTAGAGAAAGTATTTGAACATTTAGTAAAATTTTAAAATACATTATTTTTTCCTTTAGCTTCTTCTTTATACGTCACAATAAACATAAGTTCCACTTAAAAATAGGCTCTTGTACATTTTAATCTGAGTTGCAGTACCCTTAAATTCTTGCAGTATATACAATTTCAATTTGTGTCAAAGGCAGTATGGAAAACCAAATCATTATTTCCATTTACTTAGGAAAAACTAACTTCGCAGTTGATAGTTTCAGTTGATGTTGTAAGGAAAGGATAGGACTTATCAGTTCTGGTGGTTCACTTACTGTTCGTGTCAGTACAGCCGATTCTGGAGCTGGGATAGTCTCTCGCGCAGCTGCAGGCCAGTGTGCCGAGTGTACTGTCTGTGGCTCATCGCCCCCTGGCTGCCGTGAGGGCTCTGTCAGAAAGCTTCCCTTTGTGCCCGGTACCTGGGGCGGAGGAAAGGTGCAAGGAGCACCTCCTGTGCAACGCAGTTAGCAGCCCCGTGTTGGGAACCAAGGCTAGCGCTGTGCCTGATGGTTCTCCTGCCCACAGTGTGGCCAGCGTGGCTGGCTGTGCGCTCTGTTCTTTAGACTGCTGAGGGACTGTGTGACCTGGACTGGAGCTGCGGCTGCTGTGTGATAGGAAAGGTGCAAACTGTTTTAAACTTGAATCAACTTTGTTTCGGAATTTGGGTGACTGTGTATTTACAACACCAGTTTTTACTTCGGTTGCTTTATTGTTGCAAGATGCTCAAAAATGATCAGAGGGAAGATTGAAAATATATTCATCAAGAAAGTCACTGTAGGTTAGCATCGCTGGATATATTATTAGCTAAGTAGGGTGGCCTACAAAGTAAGTATGTACTGCCTAGTTGATAGATTGAGGAAAATAGCTATGTCCTGTAATAAGTAATAGGACAAAAAGTCATTTTAAAATGTAATACAGGAATATTTGGAAAGAATTTAAATTTTATTTCTTTAATTCTTGAAGTAATGTATTTTTCTGTCATTGGAAATCTTTTACTCTTTTTCTCCCTCATTGGTCTGAGGTTGGAATAGAAAATAACCTATACAATCATTCGTAAGTCTTAAGGTTTCTTGATATAGTATGACAAGTTAGTAATCCTCTACAGTCTTAAATTAAGGTTTGGCGGTATTCTGCTAGTGTTAGTAGTTACGGTAACCACACTAGTATTGGTAGTTATGGTAACCAGTTCTTATCTGCTGATGACAGTGTTTTAGAATAGTCAATTTCATGTTTAATTTACATGTACTAGAATTGTGTTCTTTGAAAAAATTAGCAGAAATTTATTTATATAAGAATATGTTCCTTTCTTTATTTGACTTCCATAAACTTCAGGTGTTCATTTGGTACAGGAAAAGCATATAACTTGTGGTTTGGAAGCGAGGTCCTGACAAGGGTTCCCGCCAGTATCTACAGGTGCAAGGACTCAGCGCTGTGTGAAGTGGCTCGCTCCTCTCGTGCAGTGATGGCGAAGCTTTCAGTGGTACAGGCAGTCTGCTGTGGCACGCGTGCCATAGGTTCGCCACCACTGCTTTGGGGAAGACTTGAACACTAGGTAGTAACTATCAAAGATACTTTGACAGTGCATTCTAAATTATACTTTAGCCCAAGAATGAGGCCGACTCTCTGTGCAGCTAGTGACCTTGGTAGCCACACTGTTTCAAAATTAAACTCCTACCCCATCCTCAGAAAGGACTCAGGAGAGGAAGCAGCAGGCTACTGGAAGCAGTCGGCAGGTGTGTTACACACTGTACACTGAGATCATTAGGAAGCAAAGGCTGGAAGTGTTTCCAGGAGCGTGGTACGGCTGTGCCTGGACAGGACAGCGCGTTAACCTGGGCCTGCTCGCGGAGCCGTGTGCGGAGGAGTAGCCGCGAGTGGCTCTCCCCTCCGCGGAACCAGCTCGGAGTCCGGAGTTGGAGCCGGGGGTGAGCAGTGGTAGGCTCAGAGCAACATCACGATGATGCAGATGAGCAGCAGGCAGATGAGGATGAGGCAGAAGTTGATGAAGAGGTTCTGGAGGTTCTGGCGCGCCTGCTGGGGCATCTCGATGGTCGAGGCCCTCCTGATGGCCGAGCGAGTCAGATACTGCACCTTCTCCATGGCGCTGGCCGGCGGGGCTGGAGCTCCGGGCTGTCGAGTGGCAAGGCTGGCACCGACGGAAAGCTCCTCCTCAGACAGCCTGGAAGGAGAGACGTGGCACAGGGCTTAGGGTCTGTGTGTTACTCAGAGCTGCCTTCTCACACTGCGCATGCGATGGTGCCGTCTGTCCTGCCCCGCCATCCTCCTCGGCATGTGGCCGGGTAGCCTCGTTTGTGTTGGCAGTGACTTCAGGACCTGCCTTCTCCCCCACGCGGCTGCCAGAGTTGTTTGGTTAGGGTGCAGCCTGTTTGGGGTCACGAGTTCTTACAGTGGTTTCTGTCCGCTCAGTGGGTGTGAATGATTAGTGTACTGGGAGCTGCAGAGCTAGTCTCATAAGAAGACGGCAAACAACAAATTATTTCCTCAATCTTTTTAGTCCAACATAAAATGGTTAGCTAGGCTTTACGTGCCTATAATCCTAGCAGTAGGGAGGCTGAGCAGTAGGACAGTCCTGAGTTGAAGACTGGCCTGAGCTACATGGCAAGTTCCTTCCTCTCTCAACCAAAAACCAAAACAACATAAACCAGAATAGTTTAGAGAAGCCAAGCAGTTAAGTGAGAAACAGATTCCAGTTGCTTGTTGTCCTTTTCGATCTGGTGCCCTGCAGACCTTACTTAGATAGTATTTGAAAAGACTTGCTGCACATGTGAAGACTGTCAGGCTGGACCGTCACCTCACTGCCCGCCCAGGCGGTTCCGCTGACAGAGGAGCTGTGCTCAGAACCACAGAGGCGGCTTCTCCGGCCTTCTTCCGAGCTCCACAGCCTTTTGCTGCGTGTGGCGCCTGAACCCTGATAATTAGTAAACAGAACCAAGACATATGTCATAGAAAACTTACAGGTGAAACCTGTCGAGCCAGGGATATAGTTCAGCAGCGTAGGGCCTGCCTGGCAAGTGCAAGGTCCTGAGTTTGATTCCCAGTATCAACAAAAAAAACAGAGAAAGAAAAAGAGAAGAGAAAACCTGACTGTCCAACTTACTGGCTATTAATATTTGGAGATATTTTATTTTCAATCAGAATATTTCTGTTTCAGCCAGGTGTGGTGGTGCACACCTGTAATCCCAGCACTAAGAAGGCTGAGGCAGGAGTAGTAGTACCTCAAGTTGCAGGCCAGCCTGAACTATATAGGGAGAGCCTGTCTCAGAAAATAAAACAAAACTAAAACAAAGAAATATTTGAACTAGGAAATATTGAAAGTGGAGTTAGAAAGCCCTGCCCTGCCCATAGAGGATGCATCTGGCCCTTGCGGTGGCTCTGGTGAGCAGGGTGATGCAGGGACTGGGCTGCCCAGCTGCGGTCTCCCCTTCCCTCCACACACCCGGGATGCTGTGGTGGCCTGTGGGTCCCACCCGAGAGAAGCAGGCGCCGAGGTGGTGGTGGTGGCGGCCGTGAGGCTGCTCGGCATGGCCCTTAGGACCCAGCATTTGTGTCAGCAGGGAGACCTGTGGCTTCTTCAGGGCACTGTGTAATCAGATCAGTGCACTCGAATAAGAGATTTTTATGACCAAAGTCTTCAGAAAAGTTAGTGAACCCAGGGTTGTCACACGAGCTACATCCCTAGCCCTTTTTACATTTGTAGACAAGTTCTTGCTAAGTTGTCCAGTCTGGATTTGATTTTGTGATCTTCCTGCCTCAGCCTCCCAGAGTGCTGGGATTATAAATGTGTGCCACCACCCCGACTGAAACCCACGCAGTATATCTTGACTCCTAAATTGACCCCATAATGAAGTGTCCCAGCTTTAAAGCTCTACCTTGGAGAGAATTCTTTAAACAGCAGTACAGAGAGATTTTTCCTTCTGAAATTGGCATATGGCTGTTGCTTTTTGTGTAGGTTTCATTTCTGTTCATTATTTTACACGTTGAAATGATGATTTAGCATTGTTTATTTGCGTTAAAATACCATTTTAACCCTACAGATGTTGAGGCTGCAGGTTGCCTTTTTGAAGCAGATGTGGGGAGGGGGCTTGGGGGAGGTCTTAAAAATAAATGCCAGTTATCAAATCTCCCCGTCAGTGTGAGCAAGTTGGCCCTCTGTTGCTCTGGGAGCCTTTAAGGTGGTGTTCTCATCACAGGGCACTAGGGGTCCTCAGTCGCCTGTGCATGTGGGTGAGTCCAGTCCCAGCCTCATTTTTGTGTTGGGTCTGGTAATCCAAACTTGCAAATTCTGGAGTTTCTGGGAATGCCCGAGAGATACCATCTTATCTGAGGCAAGGCACGCGCTTATTATTTTTTATGATGTATGTTAGAAATATATATTTCAGTTTTCAGATGTTTAAACTGTTACACGCCATCATGATTTAAATGAGAAAAAAACCACTTCAGAAAGGATAAGGAACCTTGTGTTTAGAGAATGTAAATTGTTAATCCATTTAATTTCTTAAATGAAATTTAAGAAACAGAAGAGGTCTGCAACAACCTGTTTTCTTTTTTCTTTTTTGGTACTGGGAATCGAACTCAGGACCTTGCACTTGCCAGGTAGGCACTTGTACCACTGAGCTATCTCCCTAGCCCAACAACCTGTTTTCTAAAGGTTACTATAAATCATTTCTTTTTTTACTATGGCCTAGAAGAAGAATCTTTTCTCTAGTTTAATGGATATGTAGGTTCAATATAAGTAAATAAAAAGTAATTTTCCTTTTCTGGAGGAGACTGACTTGATGAAAGGGCGTACGATGTCCCCCAGAATGTGAGAGATGATGCTTGAGAACCTGAACACTACGAAGCTGCTGGGAGAGACCCTGGGAACCCGACAGCGCTCACTCCTTTAGAACACCCGTGTCTGTGCGGAGGCCTGCGCTCCGGGTCCAGCCTCCAGCCTCGCTCAGGTGGGAGTTAGTGATGGCACACCGCCGGCAGCGGTGACTTTGCTGCCGGGGCACTTTGAAGGGTCGGAGATGAAAGCCAGGATTTAGTGTGAGAGTGTAGTCCAGTCCCAAAGTGTGGTTTGTATAGGAAGTTTTGAGGAGAGATTACCTGGATTTTAGATATCAAGCCTAAGTTGATGGAAGATACATTTTTATCACAAAAACAAATAAGAGGAAACTTATTTGATTGTGGCATGTTATTTAAAAAACACCTCCATGGTTATTTTGAGCTTTTCCTACTTGGGTTTATTGCTTAATAACTATGAACATCTGTAGCTTTCTTATATTCTTGGCTTTGAAAATGATCAGTGGAATATCATTTATTAAAGAAATAATTCTAGATATATAAATTAAAAGCGAATGAAGTTGAATAGTTTTACATTAATAGAATGTGTATTCTCTAAATTTGCCTCAAGAAGTGCCATCGACAGCTTTGAGCGCTCCCGGCCTGTTTTGCTCTCTTGGTGTCATGGTTTGTTTCGAGCCGTGTTGATTGCCGTGCAGGACGCACAGAAGCGCAGCTGTGCACCTGGGCGCCTGCCAGGGCCCCCGTTCATGGCCTGTGACCTGGAGCAGCTGCACTGTGCATGTTTCCTGGTTTGAGGAGTAGAGAAGCCGCAGCCCCCAACGTGCAGTGAGTGCAGAGGGGCGAAGGAAGCACTGGTGTGCAGAGGGCACTTGGAGAATTGTTCTTCAGGAGGAGAGATGGGACTTGCGACTGACTCTTTCTCTAGAACTGATAACAAGTATACTTTGTAATTGATAGAGGTAATCTATACCTGAATTTTTCAGTTAAAGTTTTAATACATTGTATAGTTTCCATATTACATAATCAGTACGTTATGTAATATACTTAATACATGTTAAATATACTGAAACGTTTTCTTAAACTACTTTATGTAAATATTCTATCTCTAATCAGTGAGATTACAAAACGATATACATTAATATATAGGCCAGATGCATTTTGCTTTATGTCTACTAAATACTGTAAAAATGACTTTGCTGTGAGTTGTAGGACATGAAAGCGGTGCAACTCTCAGTAAAGCAAATACTCTAGTTCTCTTACTTGGTGTTAGAACTTAGCGTTCCATAATTTATGTGTCTTTCACATTTTTCCCACCTGGTTTTATCCAGCACTATGTTTAGCACAAAGACAGAACCTAAGTGTCATTGTGAGTTAGAGACACACTAGTTTGGATGTTGTGTCTGCTGCGAGGCTGCTTTAGCAACAGCAGGGGCGCTTTGTCGTCTCTTACACCGGGCACACTCATGTTCAGCGAAGATGACAGCGGCAGCAGAGCTCGGGCTGCATGGGCGCGGCCTGCTCTGTGGCGCAGTGTGTGATGGGACCCTGGTTCCTGCAGCTGTGAGTGCGACTCAGTGGGTGTTTGAACAAGAGCACAGGAACACGCTTAGGAAGCGCTAAGCAACTTCTGTAAGTTGAGCAGCTTCTCTACCATATCAGAGGAAAATACTTTCCAAGCACAGAGGCACAGAGAGCAGGCGGTGCACCGACTTAGAGACAGATGTCTTTTGAAAGTCTTAGAGAGCTGCTGTAGGATTGTAGATTCTGTTTATCAGAGCAGTGAATTCCATTTGACTTACGAACTGGGAATTCTAGAAGTAAATTTATGTTTGTATATATATATTTTGAAAATGAAATAAAACGTATGTAGCTTTCTCTCCTTGAGAGAGACTTAAAAGTGAGGAAACATTTCATTTAGTAAATTGAGGATTGTAACATAGAGTAGATTTCAGACAGAAGTCATAAAATTTATTGTGGCATGTCCCACCTGGGCATTGTTTTTCTTTCCTCTTTTTTCCTTGTAGGTCAATAACTTGACAAAAGTGCATTTATTATTAGGCAGTTTATTTTTTTAAATGTTGAATTATTATTCTATAACTTTTTCTATGTTTGTGACAAGTTTACTAACATTTTCAAACCTGTTCTTTATGATGTATTAAATTTATGTGAGATATTCATTATTAGAAGCATGGAACTTTTGAAAGTGTTTGTTATAAGTTGACTAGATTTTAGAGGAAAAATCTTTCGGACATTGTAAAAGTAGCTTATATTTTACATTCTGAACAATCTTACTCATATCATTGCAAGGGATCATAGTGATAACTTTGGACTGGGTGGCTGGGACCAAGCCTGATCCCTCCGGCCATCCATACCGTTCCAGATGTAAACAGACTGAACAGTCACAAATGAAACCATTGATTTTGCCTGGTAAATTGAGCCACCACTGCCACCAAAGATGGTAACATAATTGGAAGATTTTTTAACGGCCAGAAATTCACTTTTGAAAAGCAAAATACAAGTGAAAGTTAAGGGGCTGGGGATTTAGCTCAGCGGCATGGTTGTGAGTTCGATTCCCAGTACTGGAAAAAAAAAAACCAAAACCAAAAAAAAAAGAAAGTTAAAATAACAGACCAATGACCAGGGTTGAGATGACTGTGACCCTTTACAAAGTCAAGCCAGTGAGTGCCTAAGCATTTATGTACAAATTGTTCTGTCTTAACAGAGATTTTATTATTTAACTTCAAACCTAAATTTAGAAAACACAATTAACTTTCTTTAAAAGTTCACTGAGTTTGAATGACAAAAACCCAAGTCAGACCACAGTGCAGTCTGTGTCTTACCTTCCCTCTGTGATGATCACAGTCTAGTGGTCGGCTGTGTGAAGCAGTGCGTGGTCAGCTGGGAGTTTCCCGACTGTTTCCAGGCTTATGGGAGCAGCTGCAGGAGCTGGAGGAATAGAGTGTTTGAGGGAGGTCTCAGGGTGTCACCCTGGGTCTGGAGCCACGATTGGCCAGCCACGGGCATGTCACACCAGATGCAGAGTTTCCGTTATCTTTTTTAGGTGTGGAAAGGTGATTGACACTCTTTTTTGTTTGCAGTTTTAAAAAGCATGTTGCAGATAAGTGAAAAAACAAGCTTGGGTGGTAGAAGCGTTTCTTAAAGGTTTCTGCATCGTCAGACTTAGAGTTAATTATGTTTTATTGGAGATAATGTTGAAGGCCAAGATAGTTACTGTAATGGAATTTTAATAGTTTTTGTTGTTGTTACTGCTGTTTTGATCCTGAAGCTATATAATGCTATAAGACAAAAATTAAACATTTCCACAAAATCAGATTTTATACTTTCCTGCCTTATTTTGTTCTTGTGTCTCATATCTTTGTGTATGTGGAGGGCCTGTGTGTGAGAAAATCAGGTTGATGACTGTTTTTGGGTTAAAAAATAAAAGCTTTATCTTATAATGAACTAGTAAGTATTTAATTCATGTTTTCTTTGATTAGGAGTTTAATAATACATTTATAAATAATAATTGCCATATTTAAGCTGATGTATATTACCCCAAGAAAAATAGCAATTTACTAATAATCTAAGTATTTAAGGTTTTTTAATAGCTGCATTAAATTGCCAGAGTCCTGCCAAATTTTTAATAAGCAGACTCAATATCAAGCACAACTTTGTAGCAAAGAGGGAAATAGCTGTAAATTCTTTATCATTTGCATGATAATGGAATTGACCCAGAGTTGCCTGTGCTTAAATACAAGTTGTGCAGTGTTTCTAAAAGGATGTGCTTGCTTTATTCTAGCATTTGCTTTCCTGAAAAAGTCTACTTAAGTGAAGTCTTACTGAGTGAATCATACTTTGAACTTTGTAGAGATATTTTATCTTAGGGCAGAACTAAGGAAAGCACCGTTTTGAGAAGCTGGCCATCATTCTGGTCTGTGTAGATAGTCTTTTTATATATTAGATTTACTTAAATCACCGCACATACAAACTCCAAGTTTTTAAATTTCTTCTTCAGTTCACAAGCGGCTGCTTGTCGTTATTTTCTGACGCTCACAGCAGAGCGATCGCAGCCTGCCTCTCTTTGCTTACTGGGAGCGAGTGGAGTGCAGCTCTGCCACAGCTGCTGCTGTGCCCTTAAATGGACATGATCTTGGCTTCTTCCAAAGAAAGATAAAATCCTTCTCTTGAGCAAATCTGTTATTTAAAGAATCAACTAAAACAAAATGAAAATAGTATTTCAGCCAAGACCCTCTGTAAACATTACTAAGGGAAAACTTACAACCTTACAATAAGCCCAAATTACGAATTTTTTGACACTTTGCTCAGTACTTTGCAACCATTTTATTTCAATTCTTACATAATAACAAATCTCTCATCATTTGTCAGTGGTACTGAAGCCGAGAAACTTACAGTGGCCTATAGTAATTTGTCAGCGATAACACAGCTGGTTTATAGAGGATGAACTGAGAAATCCGATCTAGATGTGTGTCTGGCTATAGTTCTGGATAGGTTAGTGTGTTGTAGTGAAAATCATGTGGGTGTAGCTGTCACAGAGCAGCAGGTATCGGCTAAGAAGCTCTGAAGATGGAGATGGAAGGATTGCTGAACACTGTAACTGGTTCTGGAAAGTCTGCTCTAAGTGGTCTGCCCTTACATATTCATTTGAAAGGGAAGCTTAGAGAGGGATCATTGTAGTGCACTGTGATCATTCTAAGAAAATAGCGCTGGCACCACTGAGCTGGAGAGACTCAGGAGCCACAGTAGGCTGGATGAAGGGTGTCCGCATGAGCTCATGTTTGCAGGCTTCAAAAGCATGCATGCGCGTGTGACTGGCCTTATGTTCAAGCTGTGTTGTGGTGTTGCAGTAGTTTGAGATACTGTGTACATCCATCACCGCTTGGAAATTAGCTTAATTAGAGCTGCCTGTAGGTATTATTATTTAATGGGTTGGTGAAGAAGCACATAAATTCCTTTATCATAGGTTTGTTTTTTAAAAATAATTTTGATGTAATATTTCCTTTATGTATTTTACTTTTTGAAAATGTTGTTTTAGAATGGTTTTAAGTTTGCAGAATTATTATAGAGCTAGTACAGTGCCCCTGCATATCCCACCACCAGTTTCTCCTGTTGCTCATACTCTGCCCTGGTGTGGCCGTCTGTTCCAACAGTGCACCAGTGTTGCTGCACATTTTAACTAAAGTCTCTACTGAGCTCGATTTCCTTACTCCCTCCAGGGTGCTGTCTGGGACACCGTGTTCAGCGCCCTGGTTGTGACATGCCTTGGACCATCTGTTCGCTGGCTGATGGTTCTGAAGAACGCTTGGGGAGCACACTGGGTGTTTCTCGTGGTGGCCTGAGGTGCAGGCTGGAGAGGTGGGAGACAGCTCCCGGGGCACCGTCTGCAGAGTCAGCACAGCCCCTCCCTGTGGACACTGGCCTGCTCGCCTGGCCCTGCTGTTACGTGCTGGGCTTCTCCAGTGTCCGCTTCACATTTTCCGTCTCCTTTCCATCCTGGGCCCTTGGGAAGTACAGGGAAGGGAAAATTTCTTTTCCTTGCCTATTGGAAGTTCATGGCTGAGGCGTCTATGACTAAACAAAACAAGAGATTAATAGCAGTGACTAAAGCACATCCATTTATTGTATATGACATGAGAGCCTTCACAAGGACTACAGCGATAGAGACACTTGTGTCTTTGAGGGTTTGTGGGGAGGTGGAGAGCGGTGCAGCGTCTGAGTGGAGAGGGGAAGGTGTGAGCGCCTTATCCTAAACTCTGAGGCAGGGCGAGCCTGTGCACTTCTTGTCTTGGTCTTCGGAGACAAGGAGGGGAGAATGGGGGTCAAGGGCGATTCCACTGTCCCGAGCTCAGAGAGATGGGCGAGAGGAAGCAGCGAGTGCTTCCCTGTCTGCTGTCTTCTCAAATGCATGGTGCTGTGTTTTGGGGTAGTGTGCCCTGAATCCCATCAGAAGAGTCCTTGTGCACAAACCACACTTAGGCTCCACACCCTTGTGAATGCAGTAACTACAAAAATTATTTGCAGCTGGGTGTGGTGGTGCTCGCCTGTAATCCCAGCACTGGGGAGGCTGAGGCAGGAGGATTGTTGTGAGTTTGAGACCAGCCTGGGCTACAAAGTGAGCTCAAGGCTAGCGTGAACTGCATAGCAAGACCCTGCCTCAAAAAGACAAAAAAAAATTATTTGCAGTCCTTTTTATTTTATGTCTACGAAAATGTCTTGAGAACAGATTGGTAGGTTTCAGTAGTGTGCCAGAAAGATCCATGGCACAAAACAGTTGGGAATTCTAGAGGTTTCTATAGCCTCATGCGACAGCACTTCTTTGAAAGAGGAATCATGAGTTTCCAGCAGGCTGAGCTCCAGAACTTTTAGCTTGGTATTTTAGGTACTATCTTTGTTGTTTTGTCTTCTGGCACATTCCTTTGTGTCCTGTGCTCTGCCTGTGTACAATGTGCTGTGACCCTCTAAACAGGTTCCTGTGCTATTTTAAGCCTCAATACTTTCTGCAGAAATGTCCTCCTTGTCCCCGTCAAAGTGTTACTTCAATTCCTCTCTTCTGTGGGAGGTTCTCTGCCTCACACCCGACAATTTTACACGCACCTCCGTTACGTGGTCTCTGTGGTTTGTGAATGTGTCTGCCCACCAACCTGCAGGTTCTTGGAGGCCACTTCAGAAACTTCTTTGCGCTGCTGCTTGCTCTTTGTAGCATGCTTATGTCGAACAGACTGACCCAAAGTGTTCCCTAAATGCTAATTGGAGCTCTAATAAGGTGGGCACGGTGAAGGGCTGCATTCGTTCAGTAATCCTCCTCCATTTAGGAGGAGGAGAAGGGTATGAATGGTTAGGACAGCAGGCTGGAGTAAAATACTCAGGAAAATACCTTTCTTTATATTCAGAGGGTAAGAGTAAAGGAAGGTCATACTGTAAGCCCATGCTTCCGGAATTGAGCCTTTTGAAAAATTATTTTCTTGGATTCATAATACTGTAGTCCTTAGTACTTTGTACACTCTCAACATTGGTATATGCATAGTGTGCTTTTACTCACATAGTTATTTTAATTGTAATAGTTTTTGGTGTTTTAGTAAGAAGCACCCATGAAGTCACCATCTAAGAAAAGGCAGCATATTCATGGTAGCAAGGGTCTCAGCCACAGGTCTAGTCGTGCTCCCCTGGTCTTCTCAATCAAGGAAGTGATCATTTTGAATCCTCAGTTTACTTCTTTGCTTTTGTTTTTATTTTTATATGTGTCCCTAAGATATTTTTTACTTTCTCACTGAAGTGTATCATGATGTGTGTAATCTTTTACACTGAGCGTTTAAACTCCAGCTTGAAGTGGTGTCAGGTGGGTAAAGGATTCAAAGAAGCATTTGAACACGAGGATCACTTAAGTGATAACTAAATTAAAGCATTTTAATATTAGACAGGTACATAAAATAGTAAAACGCAAACTTTGAATGAATTCTTTGTGAAACAAGATCTCAAAGATAGGGAGTTTTTTGTTTCTGTTTTTGTTTTTAGGTTAGTCATCCCAGACACCCAGAGATTTTAGTTTTACTATCAGGGGTGCTTTTCTATGAAAACTTTGAGAGTTACTGTCTTAAATTTTAAAGCTACCTAAGGAATGATTAGTTGAAAACACGTGAGAAAAATGAGACTGTGAGGACACTGGAGTGAGACTAAGAGGCTAGGGCCGCACTCTCGCTAGGACCCCTCCGGGGCAGGGGAGAGAGTGGGGCTTGCTCCTCAGGGGAGAAAAGCCCTGAGGGCAGCCCTGGGGTGTTGGGGAGGTTCCCCCTGTCTGTCTGCAAGCCCACAGTTTGCTTTTTCAGCACTGTCTGAATTCTTGACAGATTTTTTTCCTTATTAAATATCTCAGACATGGGGCCAGATAGTTTAAGAAAATTGGAGGGTGTGTGTGCATGTGAACTATAGAAAATACCCTAAATGATAGAGACACTGTAGCACATAAGTGGTTTCAA